TCCTGTGATGCTGCTTGGCCTGCTGTGTTCATCCAGCTCTACACCTTGTTATCTTAGACTTCAGTGACCTGGGTCTTATAGATCCATACAGCGCAGAAACAGACCCTTCAGTCCAACTAGTCCATGCCAAACATATTCCCAAACTAAACTAGTCCTACCTGCCTGCTCCTGGCCCATATCCCTCCAAACATTTCCTATTTATGTACTTATCCAAATGTCTTTTAAACATTGTAACTGTAATCACATCCACCACTTCCTCAGGAAGTTCCTTCTACACGCGAACCACCCTTTATGTTAAAAAAAAACTTTCCTCTCATGTCTTTTCTTAAATCTCTCTCCTCTCACCCTAGAAATATGCCCTTTCGTTTGAATCCCCCAATCCTAAGGAAAAGACACCTACCTTTAACCCTATCTATACCCCTCCTGATTTTATAAATGTCTATAAGGTCACCTTTAAACCTCCTGCACTCCAGTGAGAAAAGTCCCAGCCTATCTGGCCTTTCTTCATAACTCAAACCTTCCATACCCTCATGTGACTGTGATGATTAGTTAGGTTGCAACCTTAGACTAAGGTGATATGGTCTGGTATTACTGCCTCTTCTGCTGATCCTAGGTGACGAGAACATCCCACCTGTGTGTTATCCTATTCAACAGGATCACCAAGTCCCTGCTGCAAAGTGGGGCACAAATTTGCCTCTGCCATGCCTAGGAACCGTGCAGGTCATTTCTAGACTGACAGGGCCTGTCTGGGGGCACAACAGCCTTTTAAAGATGGCGCCAGTGCCAAGGATGCCAGTCAATTCCAGAATATCTTAGCAGTGGTACCTTGTTCCAGGAACAACATGTGATGCGATAAATTGGGTAAAAGGAGCGCCATGGGACAGTGAAGGTAGTTAATGAGGCAAGTTTGGTACGATAACGTGAGAATATCCACAAGACCTCACAGTGAGAAACCCTCCAAAAAATATGATGTAACTGACAAATGGCGCTTAAGATTCAGCCCAATGTGATTTCAGGAACGAACATTGCCAAACATCATGTGAACATTCCAGAAGCTTGACAAATTTTGGTAATAAACTGATGAATTGTATTGTACTGTTTATTGCATAAAATAACAAATAAAACATTTTAAATTTAAAAGAGCTGCAGAAATCTCAGGACTCGTGATGGTTGCAATTAGGTTGGTAGTTTGCAGCATCATATAATTACAATCATATTTATAATTGTAATCATTTTTAACACACATTTATGCATTCACTATTTAGCATGGAATACAATGTGACATAATTAAACGCTGATGTGAAAAATCCACTTAACCTCCTTAATACATATTTTAGTTAACCTGCAATAACCTTTTCATCATTCCGTATATCTTTTTCCATCTTTTAAGTAGTTATTTCCTTTGATTTTATTTATTTCATTTGGACTCATTCCGCTGTTGTGATCTTGGTTTACGTTGCTTTTCTTTCTTATCAAAATAAACTTAGTTCACATGTCTGAAAATGACCAGTTAAATTTCTGTTAACATATAATTGCCCATTAAAATACTTAAGAAAAAAAAAGAGAAAGTTTAAGTATACGTGATAAAATATTGGTGAATTAAGTAAAATTGCAATGTTTTGTCCAACTGTCTTCAGTAGTTCAGGAAGTGTCACTAATTTGATATATATTAAACTGACTGATATTATTCAATGGATTTATTGATATAGCTACTGAATGGTTTTGAAACTAAGATACAGAAAAATTGCCTTTCTCTTTTTTTTAGAAATGACCCAGGATGCAGTACACCAGGTTTTGTTTTGTTAGCTCAACCACTGGATCATTTTGTGTTCAGCTGAAAGAAAAACTTAATTTTAACTTCCAATTTATAGTCAAATATTAAATAAAGACAGAATGAGTGGACTTTATCTCCAGGAGTGCGTGGATTTAAGAATGGATAGAAGGGTAAAACTGGCAAAATTGACATCTCACCAGACACCCAGCTCCAATCTATTGTCTTCCAAGTTTCAGTGCAGCACATTAGACTACATGTGAACAATCCAAAAGAGAGTTAAGGTCAGCCTTGATTGTATTGAAAGGCAGAGCAGATTCGAGACACTAAATTGCCTACTCCTGCTTCTAGTTCTCACGTTCTTATGAGATTCTGGGATTTTAATTTATTGCTTATTATGCTCAATTAGAAAAATGTTAGCAAGGATTTTTCAGTTTAACTCTTGAGTCAGTGTTTCCTGAGTTTCCATTAACTCACAAGTGAAAGTAAGACAAGAAACACTTTGAGTTGTTTGATTTATTGTTGTCATGTGTACAGTGAAAAGTGTTGTTTCACTGGATTACTGATTTAAACTTTATTGTCACGTACTCACGTACAGAAGCACAGGAGTACAGTGAAAAGTTTACAATATCACCACACACAGCGCCATCTTAAGTACAAATGTAGCTCAGTACAAAACCTACGTACAAGTAGTAACATAGAGAGACAAAGTTAAAAGTAAGGCATTACCGTTGTTCTTAGTATAAGTAGAAAAATATAGAAATAAAGTTAAAAGTTAACATTACAGTGCTTTCTAGTATTAAATGGAAATACAAAGGAGTAAAGGTAGAGATAGTAGGAACTGCAGATGCTGGAGAATCTGAGATAACAAGGTATAGAGCTGGATGAACACAGCAGGCCAAGCAGCATCAGAGGAGCAGGGAAGCTGACGTTTCGGGTCTGGACCCTTCTTCAGAAAGTTTTGCATGCTTTACAGGCAGATCTCACCATACAAAGTGCATCAGGGTCGAAGAACAGAGTGCAAAATACAGTGTTACAGCTGCAGAAATGTGCAGAGAGAGAGAGAGATGAGAATTAACATTTGAGAGGGTCCATGCAAAAGTCTGATAACAGCAGGGGAAGGCACTGCTCTTGAGTCTGTTCATACGTGTATTCAAACTTTTATATTTTCTGCCCAATGGAAGGGGCGTGTTGACTCCGAGTCACACTGAGAGTGTACTCACTCTAGATGCTTCTTCAACAATTTTGAGTCTGATCTGCAATTTTGTGGTCTTTCTGATCAGGCGAGGTATCACCTATGCTGCTATAGTTGGGATCGAAAACGAGGAACAATAACCACCGACAGTACAACAGCAGTAGCTTTCTGGTAACTGACATCCATCGACAGGCGAAAGAAGAATAGACAATACTCACAAAAGGCCATACTCAGCACACAGGGTCCACCCGGCACATGATAAGTTTCTTTGACATGTCTGAAGACTGGAGTCCCAGGAGGCTGAGGATATCCAATCAGGTGATACAGATATTTGCAACTGTACCATGCTTTACCAATGGCTGTCAAAATCACCACCACCCTCAACTGATTTGCCTATGATCTTTCCAGATTTGTGCTGGAGCCATTGCAGGATCTCACAGGCAGCAAAACACAAACAATTATATCAGATGACTGACAGACTGCTTGCGAGCATCACTAAAATTATGACATCTTTGTCTACAATTTAGATAAAAGTGAGGGGTTGCATTTTGGAAAGGCAAATTAGGGCAGGACTTGTACACTTCATGGTAAGATCCTGCGGATGTGTTGCCGAACAAATAGAACTTGGAGTGTAGGTTCATAGCTCCCTCAAAGCGGAGTTGCAGATAGATAGGATATTAAGAAGGCACTTGGTATGATTGCTGTACAGGACACTGGTTAGGCCACTT